GTGTGTCATTAATAACCTTTCTGTGTGGAACTTCAGGAAGCAGTTGCTGGTAAATGTGAGGTGGACATCACATTTCTGACTTTTGGAGTACCATTGAATTCCTGTACTTTCTGCACCCCTTTGTAGTCCTATCTATGTTCCTAACACACACACACCAACACAGATGTGCACATGCCCTCCTTTACATGCACATACTATTGCTTACCCACACACATTACATGAGTCTTACCTGAACTGACCCCTGATCTCCTAATTGCACCTCAAAACTGTTTCTGGGTCTATTTCAGTTTAAACATGGATTTAAAAAAAAGGATTTTACATTCCTGTTGGGGAACCATCAACATGCTGCTGTGTTGTTACCTACACTTACATAACAAGCACACAAAGAGCTTTGCTTATGTTTTAGACTCCAGCCACCACTTTTATTCTTAATTATCTACAAAATCTTTCACATTAAAATTAACACAGGTTTTAGTCTTTGTAGGATTGATTTATACAAGGCAAATTTTTCCTGAAAAAAGAGAACACATATTGTTAATATAAACAAAACCGCGGTTACCTGATTTAAGATCTAGTTTGCTCTCTCGTTTTTACATTTCTTATTACACAACAAATCCATGCTTCATTATTCTTAATTTGTGTTGTTTTTCCATGAAAATACATGAATTAATCTTATTTTCTACTTTAAAAAAATAATTTCAGTTCAAAACAATAGCTAAATGGGTGATAATTTCCATTTAAATTTAATTCAGGAGTGTCATCAAAGAAGAAGAGATATACAGATACATAAGTGTTTGTGTTTGATAGTTGCAGTTTGGCACATCAACAGTTCGTATAGGCAACAAAAGAGTTAAGCTGCTGTAGTTGGACACTGCAGAGGTAGTTACGTTTGTTGCACTTCCTATGACCCCACAGTTTCCCAAGACACATTACAAACAAAAGTAATAGTAGTAAATACTAAAGTCATAGTAAATGTAAAACTCCTTGAAACCATGAATTCAGGAAAGTAATCACAGGATTCTCAAGAGTACAGAGAGGATTACTGTCATACTTTTATAAGGCATCACCTAAAAAAAATCACATCCATAACAACCAATTAACTCATATGAAAAATAG